AACTAACCATTTTCGATGCTTTGGGTCTTTGAAGTTTCCCACACTCAATTTCTTACCCATTTCACTTCCTCAGTACTCAATTCTTGGTTGATTTGTCTGTAAATTTATGTCTATGATACTTAAGATATTTGAAATGTACCCCAGGTTTCTGATTATGAAGATTCAATGTTTTGAAGGCATGGGCCCCTTATCAGGCAAAATGGCAAGTATGCACACTAGCTCACAAACTCCAGCCTATTGTGAGCTGATCTTGGTCATAAGAAGCAAGAATATAAGCTATGCTCATGATATATTAAAAGGTTGGATCATGGATGCAAGGGCAAGATACTGAAAATTGTGAAAAAATGTCACAAGTGCAATTGTCTATGCTTTGTTCCTGGAGAAGGATCCTGTGTGTCCTGGGCTGGTTATATGATATATCTACTCCAAATATGCTCAGGAATAGACTCCCTACAGTCCTTGAGGTCCAGCTTTACAGGGAAAAACCCCCAGCGGGTGAACCACCAGAAGAGGGGGAGGTACACTATACAATAAAGGATTACCCTATGGTCCTGAGCTCCTGATACATTGTTTCTATTGTTGAATAGATGATTGAGATATAATTCCAAAGTCTGTTCACCTAGAAATGAACACATAGGAACATATTTTGTATTTTTATGTATATATGCAATATCCATTTAAGCACCAAGTCTCAACTACCGATTACCAAGTCCCGACACTTGATAGTTGATAGTCAGTATTTGAGCTCCGAGTGCCAATATTGCCTACCAATATCTCAGTCAAATGATAACCAAACCAAGACCCAAGTTCCAAACCTGACTACCGAATACCAAATATCAGTACTCGGGACTCGGGACTATTGGCTGGAGTACCCAACTATTGATTCCCAGGTACCGAGAATTAGAACCAAGTACCAAGTATCAGAACCAAGTACCAAGTACCCGACTACTGATTTAAAGTACCGGGTTTCGGGTTTCGGCACTTGACACTTGGTGATTTGTGCAATGAGTAGATGGGCATGTGGCATACATGTTTTTGGGCTTCGGGTTTTAGGATTCTGCCCTTGGCACTCAATGATCTGTGTAATGTAAATGAACAATGAACATGTTGCACACCGGGTTTCGAGTTTCGGGTTTCAGCACTTGAAACTCAGTGATTTGTGCAACAAGTGAAAAATGGAAATGTTGCATACATATTTTCAGGTCTCGGGGTTCGGGTTTCGGCCCTCGGCACTCGGAACTCAATGAATTGTGTAATGTACATGAAAAATGGACATGTTGCACACTGGGTTTCAAGTTTCACGCTTTGGCACTCGAAACTCGGTGATTTGTGCAGTGAGTGAAAAATGGACATGTTGTGTACATATTTTCAGGTCTCAGGCTTTGGGTCTCAGCCCTCGGCACTCGGAACTCGATGATTTGTGTGATATAAATGAAAAATCAACATGTTGCACACTGGGTTTCAAGTTTCACGCTTTGGCAGAACTCGAAGTTGTTGATTTAGATATCACCCAAAACCTGAACACCCGAATGTCAAATTTTCGATGCCGAACCCCTAACCCTGACTGCCGGGTGCTGAGTCCCGAAGTCTGGAACTCAGGATTTGACATTTGAGATGAACAAAATTTTTCAGACATGTTTGAATTAATCTACGTATATCTATAAACATTTCACTAACCCCTGAACCCTGAAAGATATTTTTGTTGTCTTACATACCAAATTCCGAGTTCCGAGTTCCAGGACCCCGGACCCCCGAAACCCGGCAGTCCACAATTTCGGAGTTCGGGGGTTGGTAAAATGTGTATGGATATATGAAGGGTTGGTTTAAACATTTTAAAAGATGTCTCATATCAAATGTCAAGTCCCAAGTTTCGATTTCCGGGTTTCAAGAGTGCTGAGTCCCGAAGCCCGGAGTCCCGAAACCCGGAGTCCTGAAACCTGGAAATCAAAACTCGGGACTTGACATTTGATACACTGGAAGCATGAAAGACTTTTCCAGCATGAAAAATCTTGAAAAAATCCTAAAAAAGGTTTAAATAAATTTCATGATTCTGTTGCCTGCAAAATGCTGGTCAAAATTTGAACTTTCTATCTACTTTTTCGTGATGCAAAAGGTTGATCTTAGTTAAATCTTAAGTCACTGTTCATCCACAATATTGTCTCAACACGTAGTTTAACCATTTGAACAATTTTTCTCTGGTACAAACCTAGACAAAACTTTGACTTTGTGGTGTGATAGTGAATAAACTTTTGAATAACTTTTGTCAACATTTGTTCGACCATAAAAGTTGATGTTTTTATCACCCTTTTTTTAATGTTTTTGTTACCTAGATATCTTGGATGAATTTTTTATAATGCATCAGATAATATTCAATGTAGTAATCAAGCTTAGATCAACATTTTGTCTCTCACTTTTGTTTACCTTTGTTCAAGATTCAAGCAGACTTCTTATGCCGTTATTATTTTATATCAAAAACAATGCAATGCATTAACTTTGTTACAGTTAGATATATTAATCTTACAGTGAATCAAAAGTTTGTTGGGATTTAGAATGCTTTCAGGAGAGAATTTTGTGTTGTAACATCAGTTAAAGCTTATTAGTATTTTAAGTGTGGTCAGGAGAAGGATTTAAAATGATGTTACTAATCATGAATGACATGCAAGGCCACTCACAGCAGAGCCTGCTTTTCTGAGGTATGTATACTGCTGTAGCGGGAATCAGTAGATTCAGATCCACATTTGTGCGGAAAGAAGATTAAGCTTTTGTTGCTTTTGCCTGTGAGTTCGAGCCCGAGAGCGACCATTATGCATGTCATGAATAAAAAATACAAGAACATTGTAGCCAATGATTTATCAAGTGTAAAGTAGTCTCAATTCCAGCATTCCGATCAGCATCAGTGGTTATCCGCACCTGGCCACCCCCATCTAATGAGCCGAGTTGCTCCATCATGCCACGACTGTACTCTGGGGCTAGCTAGTGTGGACGTAGTAGAACCACGAGTGCCAACAAAGGTTCCATTCGACTGAATGATAGCGTCGAGGAGCACCAGGATGCCTTATAACAGCCACAACTTTTAGCGTCAGAATGAAAATATGACATCTAATCCGCTCACCATTTTCCATAGATCACCTCCGTCTGCTCTGCTACATAATCTACCCACATCCACCCCAATGCCCTAACATCTGACTATCACTCCGGGTCCCTTTCGTCGCTCATCATGGCAGCCTTAATCCCTTTTCGTGTGCGAAACTCTTCTTGCACCTCAGACACCCTGAGTGCAATGTCAGACAATGGGGCAAAGCACTGATCCACTGGGAACTCCTCGCATTGTTGGCTGAAGTCACCATACCAGTATGTGGATCGATATATACTCAAGTTAGATCTGTAGAGCAACTTATACCCAAAACTTTCACTCACGGGAGGAGTTGGCTTGTATGATGGGCGCTCGTGTAGTGAAGTAAATCAAAGGATAATATGTGATCGTCCGGAGGAAGGGAAACCTAGTGCTGAGGAGAAGGACAATTTGTGAATGATAATTCCAGGCTTTTCAAGCGAGTTTCTAGAAACCTGAGTGATGCGAGAGACCAAAAGAGTGCGTGATTGTGGTGTATGCTAGGAGATGTCAGCTCAACCCAAGCTGGGGTTTGTGTCCATGAGACATCTGCGATGGCCACGCATTTAATCACTGAAGAGGGATGTTCGAAGTTGTCTCACCGAGTTTGAGCAGGTTCAGAGAGCGAATTCGTTGTGGTGTTTGGTTGCCAGAGTTGACGTGCTCCATCCTACTGAAGTCCACGATATAATGTACTTCGTGTCGTTGCAAAGGTTATCTGAGACCAATCTTATGCATATGGTGAGACCCAAGCCTTGGACGTTTTCACTGAATACTGACCTCGAGAAGAACTGATGAGACTGTAGCAATACAAAATGGCCCTGTATCTGGAGTTGAGGACGGACTGTTAGGTAGAGCACGCTTAGTCAGTGCACTAGTAAAGCTTTGACAAATTTGAAAGTTTCAACTGAACTTATAAATCCTGTCACTGCAAATGAAACCTGTCCGCCCTGGGGTGACAAACACATGTACTCATCTCTGTAATTTATGGCTTCAGCATCAGGTAGTGGCCCCGTGTTCAGGATTTGTAAACACGAGGCTAGTATCTGCTCCACTTTTGTTCTTCGGTTTTTCTTTGCGGCATTCTGTAAGAGGTGTCAGTGGTGAGGTGAGGTGAGGTGAGGTATAGAACGTCAGGCATACGTGAACAGTATACAAGCACGGGTGAACGAAAGGACAAGATGTTGAACCAGAAAGATGGAGATGACACACCCCAAGCAACAATGCTCTTCTCCCCTGTGCCTTCGAGAACCCCTCTTTCGTAAGCCCCACAAGCTGTTGAAGCAGCTCGTCCTGTCTATCTGTCAAGATCTTGAGGTGGTCTGTGAATATCGTGCGTTTGATGAGTTTCTGTGGGTCTACATGAGTCCGGATGTCCAGAAAATGAATACACTCACCCGCTGAGCTAGAATCCACATGAGTCCGGAATCCGGATGTCGATCCACGAGTCTGGATACAAATCCTGGTACAAGTATACGAGGCGTCTTGATTTTTGAAGACAAGTTCATGTCACGTCCAAAGTCGTACTGTACTGGTCTGCGCATGAATGAGTCCGGATGTCCAGAAAATGAATACACTCACCCACTGAGCTAAAATCCACATGAGTCCGGAATCCGGATGTCGATCCATGAGCGTGGATGCCAATCCGCATGAGTTCGGATGTCGATCCACGAGTCTGGATACAAATCCTGGTACAAGTATGAGGCGTCTTGATTTTTGAAGACAAGTTCATGCCTTCGGAGTCAGATGTGTGTGCTTTTGGAGGTGGTGGTGTGGGTTGACGTTGACCTGCAAAAGATAGGCGCAAAAATTTAGCGATTGTGAGGTGCGGGTCTAAGATTGGACATTCATTCCTAGTGTGCTTTACAGTAAATACTGATAAGGGTCTCTATGCCAAGACAACTACTGGAATATTATGACTGTGACGGAAAAGCAAACGGTCCGTGAAACAAGTAAATACTATTCTACGGCCACTTGTGACTGGAGCGCTAAAGTGAGCGAGGACCCGAGCTAAGACTGCCAATAGTTGACCGGGGCGAACGGGAATTTTGATGCCTAATTGCGGGACACAGAACTCCCCTCCCTCCCAGTCACCAACCGCAAAAACAAAAGTATAGAGCGCACGATCGTCATTCCAGTCGATGTGCACGACCCCTGACCCCGATTCTTTTGCGGCGATTGCAAAAAAAGGTCCTCCCATATCGAGATTTGGACGCAACTGGTATTTATGCCCGAGGTGCTGATGCGCACGAGTATAAGCTCTAAAATTATTGGTGGGATCAATAAATCATGTCGATCATGATAACATAGACGTACTTTTGAATTGCCTCCCATTGGATCGGCGCATGATCCTTAAATACAGTGGAAACTTTGGGAGCGATGGCAGTTTTAATAAAAAACAAAAGGTCATCCATCACCTTGATAGCCTCAAGAGACTGTGCCTCAGTCTCCGAAGTCAGGCGGGGCTGCGCACCAGTCACCTCCCATGTGCCAAAATGGTATGCGTCCGTAGCTGAGCGGTTTTTGTCTTTCTTGAGGAGGTGCTTCGGCTTGGTGTGCAATAAACGATCCCAACAGACCCGGAGGGCTTTTTGCTGTTCGTCTGTGATGAAGTGCTCGAATCTCATGATGAGGTACGGGGGGATATCATCAGGGACAGATGCTGGTGGGAGGTGATCAAGGGGAAAGAGAATTTTTCCTTTGGAAGGCAGTGTCTCGAGCTGCTGAGGCGTACTGGTAGCACTATATTTGCTTGTCACAATGCTCCGAACGGTTTTGCCAGGACCGTTTGATGGCGAGAAAATCGGATGGGAAGTCTTTAATCTTGTGAATATCTAATAAAAGTTTGAGTTGGTCTAGAAGGGGTCCAAGACAGTCCACTTACATAAGTCCCTTTTTACGTATCCTTTCACCTTCTCAAGATCCCTTTTTTCTCCCCATCGCTTGTACCTTTTAGCACGACCGGCTTCGCTGCGACCTCCACGTCCCATGGTGAGACTTATAGCGGTAAACTTGAAAACATGTAAGTATAGGTGAAAATTGAGGATTACATAATTATTTGTACAATGGTTTGGCTGAAGATTGGGACTCCCGAATTGACCTTCGGAACGCTTCGGTGATCTGATACATAAGCTTCGCCTCAATATCATGTTGGACGATGTCCCCAACTCTTGAATCACGGGCAGGTGGCAAGTGATCTATGTTAACGAATGCGACTTTAGTCAGCCACAAGACCGAGGGCTTCTTCCACTTGCTCCTTGGATCCTTGGCCTCATCGACGACGAGCATCTCCTCGAACGCGCAAAAACTCGATCGAAGAAGTCGGGTGGAGGTGTCTCCTCGAGCGCACAAAACGCCATAATACGACGTATCGACATGAAAAGGCGTCAGATTCTCGACTTTCAAAGACGAGTGAGCGAGAGATGTAGAAAAGAAGATGCGTACATCATGTGAGTATCGCTCGCTTAGTGAACACTTGTTAAGTTTGAAAGATATTGTGCACTGCGAAAAGCGCGTGAGATCGTGGGTGTACCCACAGGATATAATAATAGGTGTTGCGCAATGCGAGTTGA